GATCTTTGTTCTTCACTTACCCTGTTGCAGGGCTTCGATGTGTACATCCCTGAGACCAGTGTTGAGGAAGTCTTGGATGTGATGGCGTCTGCGTGCACTGACCTAGCAGAGTTGCCTGAGCTCCGTGATGTCATTCTTGCCGTGAGCAGTGCTTGCAGGAAGCACAAAGCCTCACGTTTCCTGATGTCTCAACTCCGCATGAGCGGGCAGATTTCCATCCACGCAGGCAGCCAGCCTGTCCAGGCCAAGGCTCAGAATTTCTACTTTCATGTTGGAGATCACAAGGTGAGGATGACGGAGGTGAAGACAGAGCTGGAGAAGGCAGGGAGATTTGCAATGTTCCTGTTAATGTGTTCTTTTTGAGGCTCTGTGGTGGACAGGCTGCCCACATAACCACACATATCATATATATATATATATATTCTTGCAGTAGAGCAGGGCCCAACTTTGAAAGACTCTGGCTGGATCTAAGTTGTTTGTTTTGCAGGGACTTCCAAAATCTTTCAACATGAGATAAATTCGATGCCATTGAATATGCCGTTGTCTTCTGAAAGAGAGCTGATCTTTGTTCTTCACCTGTTGCAGGGCTTCGATGTGTACATTCCTGAGACCAGTGTTGAGGAAGTCTTGGATGTGATGACGTCAGCGTGCACTGACCTAGCAGAGTTGCCTGAGCTCCGTGATGTCATTCTTGCCGTGAGCAGTGCTTGCAGAAAACACAAAGCCTCGCAGTTCCTGATGTCTCAACTCCGCATGAGCGGGCAGATTTCCATCCACGCAGGCAGCCAGCCTGTCCAGGCCAAGGCTCAGAATTTCTACTTTCATGTTGGAGATCACAAGGTGAGGATGACGGAGGTGAAGACAGAGCTGGAGAAGGCAGGAGATTTGCAATGTTCTTGTTAATGTGTTCTTTTTGAGGCTCTGTGGTGGACAGGCTGCCCACATAACCACATATATCACATATTCTAGCAGTAGGGCAGGGCCCAACTCTGAAAGACTCTGGCTGGATCTGAATTGTTTGTCTTGCAGGGACTTCCAAAATCTTTGAACATGAGAGACATTCGACGCCATTGAATATGCCGTTGTCTTCTGAAAGAAAGCTGATCTTTGTTCTTCACCTGTTGCAGGGCTTCGATGTGTACATTCCTGAGACCAGTGTTGAGGAAGTCTTGGATGTGATGGCGTCAGCGTGCACTGACCTAGCAGAGTTGCCTGAGCTCCGTGATGTCATTCTTGCCGTGAGCAGTGCTTGCAGGAAGCACAAAGCCTCGCAGTTCCTGATGTCACAACTCCGCATGAGCGGGCAGATTTCCATCCACGCAGGCAGCCAGCCTGTCCAGGCCAAGGCTCAGAATTTCTACTTTCATGTTGGAGATCGCAAGGTGAGGATGACGGAGGTGAAGACAGAGCTGAAGAAGGCTAGCAGCGCAGCGCGTGTTCATGTGTGTGTGTGTGTAAGTCAACCCCTTTCTCTAAGGGCCACATTGCAATGTCAATTCATTTGGAAGCTTCATTGGGAGTAGACGCAGGGGGACCATCCATGTGCTGTGTGCGATCGGACTTTCAAATCCTTACTTCGTTGGGCTCATAGCCCGTGTTCTGTGCACCGCTTTTGTGAACACTATGAAAAGGCCTCGGCGCAAAGACAATTCTCTCAATCTCTTTGGCTATGGCTTTCATGGAGGTTCTTTGAGTGCCCTGTTTGCACAAATAATGCAACTATATCTTCCCAGTAAGCAAAAAAATCTGCCAAGTCCAAGTCTTCTGAAACTTTTCTGCGTGTGATTCCCCGGGCAGGGCTTTGACGTGGACATTCCTAAGACCGGTGTTGAGGCAGCTTTGGCTTTGCTGGCGTCAGCGTGCAATCAGCTACCAGAGCTGGAGGTCATCAGTGGCTTCATTGGGAGAGTGACCAGTGCGTGTCATAAAACCGCAGCTGCAAGTTTCCTAATGTCTCAGATCTGCATGAGCGGGCAGCTTTCCGTCAATGCAAGCAAGCAACCTATTCGGGCCAAACCTGACACGATCTACCTGCATGTTGCACGCCGCACAGTGCTGTTGAAAGACGTGAAGGAGGAATTGAAGAAGGCCTGGCGTGAGATTTTCATGTGCTTGTCCAACCAAATCCATCGTGGGAATGCTGATTAGATTTTTGGTATCGACAAAACACAAACTACATTTTTTCGGAGTTGAATCTTTTTCAACACCTTTTGTGCGTGGTTTCCCTGGGCAGGGCTTCGACATTGACATTCCTGAGACCTGTGTTGAGGATTTTTTTTCCTTGCTGGCGTCAGCGTGCAATCAGCTACCGGAGCTGGAAGTGGTCAGTGGCTTCACTGGGAGAGTGACCAACGTGTGCCGGAAAAACGCAGCCGCAAGTTTCCTAATGTCTCAGATCTGCATGAGTGGGCAGCTTTCCATCAATGCAAGCAAGCAACCTATCCGGGCCAATGCTGACACGATCTACCTGCATGTTGCAAGCGGCAAAGTCGCAATAGCGGAGGTGCAAGAGAAACTCAACGAGGCTTGTGTATGAGAGAGATTTGATGTGAGGGGTTCCAGAACCAGGTCCCAAATCGTTGTTTCTTCTAGATCTTTTCGTTGCGTGGCAGGAAGTCCATCGCGTGGATTTTGTTGACATGACATGAGTGAAGATGCCATCGTTTTCAAGAGTCAAACGATTTCAACAAGTGTTCTACTTCTGATTCCTCGCCAGGGCTTTGACGTGGACATCCCTAAGACCAGTGTTGAGGCAGCGTTGGCTTTGTTGGCGTCGCTGTGCGATCAGCTACCGGAGCTCAAAGCTGTCAGTGATTTCATCAACACGTTGACCAGTGCATGCCGGAAAAGCACGGCTGCAAGCTTCCTAATATCTCAAATCTGCATGAGCGGACAGATTTCTGTCAACGCAAGCAAGCAACCTATTCGGGCCAAAGCTGAGAAGATTTACCTCCATGTTGGAGAGCAGAAGCAAAGCTTGCAAGAAGTTGCAGAGGCGCCCTGTGATTGAGACTTGTATAATGTGTCTTGGAATGTCTTCACGCGCGCGGTGGCAAATAATAGTTCTGGAGATTGTTGGGGCTAGTCATTTCACGGTTTAGGCCAACGCCCGACGCCCTCCGCAAACTCTGTTGTGAACGCATAATCGTCTTCCACAGCAGTCAGCCGTTTGGGCCTGCGAGCGCACATTGCAAGTAGTCAAGTCGTATTTCCCTGATTGTCCTCCAGCTTGTAGCGCCAATCAACACAAGAAAACATGGTACAGTGGGGTAGTGGTCGGAATGGTTTTCATCAAGCTGGTGTACAGGCAAGGCACTGTGTAGTTTGCAATTGCAACCTTAAAGTATCTTAAAGTCCAGCTCAGCTGCAATAGGCCTCAAGTGAATCGTTAAGGGCTTCACCGGCGCCGCAGGCAACTTTTTGCCAATCTGCAACCTAGAATTGAAGACAATCGATTAGCTGATTAGCCAGGAATTTTGCCGCCAACAGTTCTCAGGCCCACTGGATGCAGGCGATTCTGTTGTTCCTATTTATTAATTCTTGGGGAGTCATTTGCCATGCGGGAAATAAGGCAAACGCAAATTTAGGTGCCTGAAGGAAAAGACCCGCGCCAAAAGCCTTTGGGCTACATCACAGTACACGCCAAAGCAGCTGTCAGCCTTCGTGGCTGTGTTCAACAAGCAGCTTCGACAACAATGGCTGAGCTGTTCGGGCAACAAGACCATGTATACAAGGGTGTGCCAGAGAGTGGATGCCAAGACAGTAGAGAGGGCTAACCTGCGCATGTTCAGGTTTAGACCTCAACTGAATGATTTTGTATGTTTTGTTTGCCAGATTTGAGCCAGTTCAAAGGGTGCCTTTGGTCCTGCATTTAACTACAAATGCTTGTTCAAACAAAAATTCGATGGAAGGGGCGAAGTTGATCTCGGCACCGTGGTTTTCCTTTTTGTGATTTCTGTTTGGATACAGTTTGAGCTCTTAATCCCTGCTTTCAGGCCTTGAGAGGCAATCAGACCTTAGAATTCCAGATCCCAAAGATTAAAGCGGAAGTCTTGAAAGCGATGGGTGCCTCTGCCAGGGAACTGGATTTGCAGTCTGCAGTGGAGCATTTGACGCATTTGGACAATGTAGCCAGGAAGCAAGGCCACAACATTTGGAGGCTTATTGAAATCAGCGGGATGCTTGTTGTGCATCCCGCACGCCTCAGAGTCAGCTATGAGGTCTGCTTACATTTGGGCCCAGCCGTGATCTCGGTCAAGAATCTGAAGTCAAGCATGTCGATCAAGTTGCCAGAGACGACAATGGAGGACTTCCTGAGGTCCATTCAAGGTCTTGCTGTGCTTGGTTTCAAGGCTGTGGAAGGAGTGCTGATAGACTTTCAGCGCAATATTCAGCAGAGGGTGGCTCAACGAGGACAATCCATTTGGAAGCTCATTTGGGTCAGTGGTACCTTGTCCATTGATTTCAATCAAGGCAAGACAATGTTTGATGTCACGCTACGATTGGGGCCTGCCACGATTGATCTTGCAGGGTTGAGGACCCCGACTCTCAAAGTGAGCGTCAAAGTGCCGAAGACCAATGTGGACGATTTCTTGACATTGGTAACCGAACAAGGTCTACAACTCTTTGGATTGAACGACGCAGTGAAGTTGCTGCGCAATCTTAAAGGGATGGTCCCCCACGAAGTTTTGACGTTTATTGGCATCAGTGGGACATGGAGCATTGACTTCAACATTGGCAATCTGGACTTTGAGGGTGCAGAGCTGCACTTGGGCCCAGCTGTTGCAGTACTGAGCTCGTTAAAAGCTGGTATGGCAATTGATTTTCCATTCGGTCCAATCTCGCTGCCGGAGGCTACGTGTGCTTTGGCAGCTTTTACTCGCAAACTGCTTCCAGTTTGTCCGGTCAAGGAGAGTGATGTCACGCATTCCGTGTCTCGTGGTCAAAGTAGTTTCGACTCACCAACGGACGACACCATGCTGCTACTTTCTTGTAGGGACCTCGCGCATAGTATCGATATATTCACTTTGCTCAGATTATTGTAAATGGGTTGATTTTGTTTTTTGGGAAGGAGATGGGGGCCCGCCCAACTTTCCAAATCACGCAGTTTCCGAGCAAACTATCTCTTGTTTTCCTGCAAAAACAAGGGTCGGACAGCCGCGGTGGAATTATTAATCACTCAATCAGATCCCTTCCATTTGGTGGACCAGGAGGGCATCAGGCTCGATTCCCCGTTGGGCCATTGGCATGATCTCACATTCGATTCGTTTTTCAAACACAGCACATGTGATCAGGAGCATTGATCACATACCGTTTCACCAGTCACGGTATACCATACCATACCAGTCACGGGCAGGATCATCTCACCAGCGGTGAGCAAATTCCACTTCACGCACGGTAACTTTGCAAAATGAGCGGGGAACAAGTGTAGCTTTGCATCCCGACCAGCGGTTGGCACCTACCACTTCAGCGGTGGCGAAATTGTGAGATCACCAGCAGCACAGGTAGCACCTCTTCCGATGCCCCTACAGGTCAAAACGTATCTTTTCACAAACAGTATGGGGACATCATTTGTCGAGGTAGAGACTGTATTGTGGAGCTGGGGTGTTTTTGCATGCCTTTCTAACGCGCTCCATTTGCACTGAAAGCTTTTACAGAAGTTGAGCCATCGTTGCGGTCCTTCTTGGATTCCCACACCAGGAGCTGAATGACCAACTCAGCAAGCTCAAGCTCAGCCCTTTGGATAAGCTCTTGGTGGAAGGAGTGTTGTCCATCGAGCGTTCCAAGTTGTTCTTCAAGAAGTTGGCAATGGGCCCACTTTGTTTGGAATACAGCCTTGAGCGCAAGTGCTTTTTCCTTCACTTTGATCGCCCAGTGTCTGTGGATGAAGCCAAGAAGTACATGGACCAAACAATCTTTAAGCTGTTGCCGCAAAACTCAACCTCATGTGTGGACGATGTTTACAAGGCTCTGAAAAGTTCGGGGGGCCTGTTGTCGCAGCATATCGCCCTTGGGGAAGATGTCGTCTTTGATGCCGGGTTCTCAGGCACTTTGGTTGTAAGGCGCTCCAATCCGAACATCCTAAAAAGCTGAACCACAATTGTGTTCCTTTCAGGTGTGTTTAATCATCGATGATTATGATGGTGTGAGCTTCGACAAGCTCAGCGCCCAATCCTCAATGTTTGTGTTCAGGATCTCCCTCGTTTGCCGCCCGTCATTCTCAGGTTTGTGGGACTGCGCATCTTGAAAAACTTTCAGTGGACGTCCAGTTTAAAGGACTTTACCGAAGTCGGGCTGATGGCAATGAGTGTGTGCTGACAGCCACTTTGGGAGCATTTTGTTTAGAGGACTGCTGTGCAAGTTTGCCACCAGCATGCGGCATTCAATATTGATTTTGAAACATACTTGAAGTCTTTTTCCTTACATTCGGGCGCCAGTTTACAACCAGGGGGCTGCAATTTATCGTCGGTTTTTGGCCAAGTAGGTATAGGCCATACAGTGATAGCTCTTAGTTGTGAGCAGCACTGAATGGCAACATGACTGCGTGCCCTCTATATCAGAAGTGGTCTGACGAACCAGGCTCCGAAAAGCGGAGGGGAGGTCAGAAGCCAAGTGGTCTCCATGGAGCACAAGGCATGCGCTGGTGTTTTCGATCAGGTCCAGTGTCCACTGCCACTTTGGGGGAATCTCAAGGCAGTCACTGGTGTTTTCGATCAGGTCCAGTTTACTCACTGACTGCCACTTTGGAGGAAATCTCGCCCACAAATTGGTAGCGAAGCTTCTTCTCTCTTTCGCCTTGCTTTCGGTAGAAAAGGTTTTGTCCGTTGTTGTTTGTGTGTCGGGCGTTTGGGTGGCATTTTGTTTGCCAACAAGCAACAAACGCTTTCTCCCTTAACTTACGTTTTCCACACCTTAGCGTCCTAGTCTGTCTCCCGGTTGTCATGGGTCCCAGCCATCCTGATCATCCCTAGATCGGCCGGCGCTTTGGGCGCAACAGCCGGAAACTGCAACATAGTTATTTTCTCACCTCGTAGCAGCGCAGTGGTCTCTGGAAAAAACCTGACCTTCAAGCGTGAGCTTTGGTCATCGGCATCGTGAGACGCAGCTCTAGTTGACATCTTTGTCATGGAGGGGAGGGTCTTCACACGTTTCACCCTCTTCTTCACCTCCCTCTTCTTCCCACTGGTCGGGTTCGGGTTCAACCGCATCCGGCTCAGCCATGCCCGCATCACCAGCATTGATCAAGGCATCCCGCACCCATTCCTTGATGTTCCATGGGTTTGGGCGCGGGTTTGACGTTGATTTCATTCATGCGCTGTTGAAGCATCAAACAAAAACTATACGACTTTTTGCTTGCACATAGGGCTGCGGCAACCATGTCTTTGACCGCTTCCTTCGACTCACCATTCACAAACGCCAACAACAACAACAGCAACAACAACAACAACAACAAGGCCAACATTGTTGTTCCTTGGCCTGCTGGCCCGCTGTTGGGCGTCAGGGTCAGTCCCTAAAATTTGCATTGCAGAAGGAGGAACAGGCAGCCCATCGGAGGCACCTGGTTGGATTTAAGGAATTCGCTGCGACGCCGACCCTTCTTGTTTTTTGCCCTCGGATCCATCCCAGCTGCTGCCAAGAACCATGTCGCCGCAGAATTTTTTCTGCTCAACTCATCCACAATGCACGCTTGATACTATTCTGCTCCCAAGTGCTTCGAAAAGCACCCCTACCAGCCAAACCTTCTTTTGAATTTTGAACCCCGATATAACATTGTTTTTTTGCCAGCCCTTACCACGAACACAGCAACTGTTCCATGCCATTCTGCTAAATGCATCCAAAATGCTCCCCTACTGCTCCATTTTTGAATCCTGTATTTTGAATTCCCTATTGACAGCTATCAAACTTCTTGCTCCGCGGCAGGCTCGGTGCTGGTGCTGAGTGCTGGCGCCGGTGCTGTGAGCTGGCTGCGTGGGCTTTTGAAAGCAGGATGTTGGTGCCGGGTGCTGACGCCGGCCCACGTCTTCTCTTTATGTGCTCCCCATTCCGTTAGCACCAGGTTCGGCGGATATATAGTTAAGCCGGTTCAGAGAAATTCAATCTATCATTGGGTCATTCTTGTGGTCGGTTCGCCAGGCAGTTTTTGCAGGGCTCATTGCAGTCTTTCCAAAGCGCGCTTGATGACCATGTTTTGAGCAGTACGTCAATTTGTTTAGAATGGAGCGAAACCATGGAAGTGACAGGATGTGCTTCGTGCTGTTGATTTGCTTCCTGTGGACCATGTGTGGCGCCCAGCTTGTTCAACATGCTTGTCATTGTGAGTGTAGTTGTGTGTACGAGGCCACAGCAGACAGGAGCTTACTCCCCATATTGTTCTTTTCGCGCAGGAACGACTTGGGTTTGTCCAAGAGAATGAGATCAGCTTTAATATCCCCGTTGCTACCGACGACTAAAATGGTGTTGTGGTTAAGCGTGGTTTGAATAGTTAAATTACATAACAACAGTTTGAAAGGCTTTAGGTAACTCAATCAATCGAAAACACGCAGTCGCTCCAGCCTCTGTCACACTGAGATGAAGCCAGTTGCCCTACAATAAAATTGACAAGACCTGAGTCATGCCTCCCCATGTTTCATCCCATAATGGAAGAGACCACAAGCCCTTTGACAAAGCTGTTCTCATCCTTTAAGGAAAAACTGTCTTCAAATTCATGATCTTAATCAGTTGGCTGGCGAGCCAACTGCGCTGTCGATAGATTGCCCAGGATTTTAGATATGAATCGGAACTTCCTCTTCTCGGGGTCTCAGGCCAACCTCGGAGCATCAGCAGTCTCTGGCCCGGCCAACTCCATAAATGGACTCGAGCGAACGAGGTGTTTCCGCAAAGACCCTGGCTATTTGGGCTGGTGGTCCTTGCCTCGAGCGATGGGGCACCAACGGGTATGGGTTCGTGTAGATTCCCACTGATGTCTTTCGCGCGAGCCTCCACAGGGGGTTGGCTGACCCGCGCACGGAGGGTCAGGCGTGTCAGCTCAGCTGGGCTCTCTAGGCCCGCAAAGCTTTATACAAAAAGGGGATGGCTTCTCGAAAAGCCGATGTGATGAGTTCACTGTGCGGAGATCCCCCTCAGCCAGATTGGTTTGGCGCCAGCTTTGGGGGGGACCGGCTATGAGCACATGCGATGCACTTGCATGAGCAGCGATCTTGCGAGGGGAGTTGGGAGTCATGTAGTGATAGAAAGGTCCACCTTCAGGAGAATGAATCTCCAGCATGGATTTTAAACCTCAAATAGCAACACAAAAAGGTGAAGGGATGTCACCGGGGTGGGTCCATTCTCGTTCTGAAATAATTATGGGGACTCTGGCGTATGCATAGTTGAGGGGATCCTTTTCAAGGGTAATCCCGAGTACCTACTAAAAAACGGACACCTAGGAAAAAGAGTCACGTCGGAAACCCCTAAATACGGTATTTTTAAATTACAACCTTTTCAAACCGCTACTAAACTACCAACATTGCTTAATTTTGGGCGGTTTGTTTTAATTATTAGGTTCCAAAAAAACCGTAACTGCCCACCTCTGTTCGCTCTGTGTATCCACCATGACACGCCGCGTTTACACCAGCAGGTTTTCCTTCCCCCAATGGCGCGGACCCAAGCAAACGACATCAATCCCCTTTCGAAAGCTTTAGTTGTTAGTCTAATGAAGAATCAGTATTCTAATAAAGATTTTTGTAGGGGAAAAGGAAGACCCTTCGATCTGGAGGTTCTTTGAACTTTTGATACGAGTTTAATAAATGATTTTACATAACTTTTTCCTGGATGACTTTTTGGTTTTGAAGCTCTTCCCAGGTGACCCTATTTTGGACCCCCCGATTTCAGGGACCCCCTATGAAAAGCGACCGAGGTTTCCTTTATTTTTCTTTTGGGGGGGGCCTGGTTTTTAAAGGTGGACAGGATGAATGTTTTATCTATTTCATTTTAAGTTCATACATGAAAGCACTCCCGTTGCTACCCGGTCAAGCACGCTCGCTTTATCCAAAAATTGTCAACATATATATATATATAATATGTCAGAGGTAAGTTTTAACATATTAAACATTTTAAACAGCAGCGAGAGTTTCGCACATTTATCTAAAGTGGGTCTGGTTATCTTGATGTGCGCACTTATGCCTCCGTGGATGCATGATTTTTTTCCGGCAATTATTGAGGCTGTGCGATGAGCTTGTGCTTTGAAGCCTCGGTCCGGGAGGTTTCCGCAGGTCAGATACACTGAAACTGCCTGTGGAAATGTGTTATTTCTGCAGGTCGCTGAAGCTTGTTACTTTTTGTTTGTACTGTGAAGTTGTCTGCTCCCAGTTGTAGAAGTTCCTTGCATTCATCGGCGACATTGCGCGCAAGATGCTATCTAAAGTGACTACACCAGGGAAGAGGCACGGGGGCTCCCTGACAGGGTAAATGGGGGTGGGTCGAGGACTACCCACCTGGCTCCTATTTAGGAGTTCACAAACCGGAGCAGACCCCCTTGTGGAAATTGGCGTGTAGCGCTCCTGGTCTGCAACAGATGCCCTTGGGTAGGGCCACTCCTGCCTTTGGCACGGCGTGCTCAGCAAATCCGAGTTAGATCCAATGGCCATGTTACTGTAGTGTTCCCAGGAAGAAGCACGGTGCTGGTGGTAGAGCGGCGTTGTCGAGGCCGCGGAAATGTGGTCTTGCAGGTGGATGCGCTTGTACTAGATATCCTTAGTGGTTGGTTGTTTCGAGGAAGGCCTTGTGCTTGGAGGGGTTGGAACCCGATGTTCATTGAGGCAAAGTTGAGCTGCCAACGGCTTTACAGCAACTTTGTTTGGAGATATCCGAAGTTTCGCGCCTGAGGACCTGATTGCGGCAGTTGGCGCGCCTGAAAGCTGAGGGCATTTTGTCCTTGCACGTGCTGCGCTGCAACATCGGATTTGAGATTTGGAGGTAACGCGATAGGTCTGTGGTCTTCAGTGTTGAGGTCGCTGACGTCAGCCCTAGGGTTTGAGCCACTTTTGGTCGACAAGACCATCTTCTGAACTCTCGCATGCGCGTTCTCGTCGCTCATGATACTGTTTGGTGCTTTCATCATGAATTGGGAACAGAACTGCAGGGTGGAAGTTGGAATCTCACTGCATTGCTACATCTCTTGCTCCAAGCTCTGATTGAATGTTCAATCTCAGAGTTCGCCGATATGAACCATGAAAATTATGTCAAAAAGTGCAGGCAAAGAACCAAAGGACAAAATCGAAAACCGAAAGTACAAAAACCTCCAACAACCACCCAAGCATTCTTGAACATATCTTGAAAACATTGAGTTCCAACCCAAACGCAAACCTTTTTTTTTGGCAATTCACAAAGAACATAAAACTCAAAGATGACAATAACAGGCTTTCCGTAAACATGAAAAACAGAACAACCTAACACACCCAACCCTAGACCTCCAGTCTCCATGTTTCACCTTCTTTTGGGGGTGGGGTTGGTAAGATCGTGGCTCTCGTGCCTTCCAGGTTTTGCGTTTCCGAAAAAATGCATCGGTGCATCGCTTCGCTCGTCCGCGTGTCTTCGTCATGTCGTTTCGCGGTTTCTTTTCAGTTATTCCTGCTTAGAGACCAGACGCGGCAAGCCGCGCACGACGTGTGTTGTCTTAGCGTTGTTACTTTGAATCAGTGGGAAAAGCTGCCACCGTCACTTGTTGGATGCTTCCGGCAGTTCAACAAGCTGTGGGACCTCCTTATTCGGCAGTTCAACAAACTGCGCTGTGGGAGCTTTGCGTGATGCTCTTGAACAAGATGAAATAATAACATGAAGCAAAGCAGCGTCGTGAACTGCGCCAATCCATGAAGTTGTCGGACCAGATAGAAGCGGATGGATTCGTTCTTAGTTCTTTCTCACGTTGTCCGTGTGTGACTACGTGACGAAGTCAATGGAAACCTTTTCCAATCTGTTCTTTTTTAAAGACATGATTTCGTCTGAACATTTTGGGTCCTACACTGCGTGCGGCGACAGCAAACCGCAGAAAATTGATTGGGCAAAATTGGAACTTTGAGATGAGATATTAGCATGGCAGATGTCAACACCTTCGCATGCCCTTCTGTTAGGTCGGGCTCTGATCAGTGCAGAAACCGTTCACACCTCTACCAAAAGTTTTGTTATACCAGAATAGACATCCTAGGACGGTACTCTGTAAAATCACTGACCATACATGATATAGGATTCTGTGCAGAGTTTGCAGGTTCCATTTCGCAACAATTCTTTGTAAAACAGCAATCTAACAAAAGGTGCTTCGCATATATGACCTGGGCTATGGACATATCACAGGTGGTTTCCCACCACTGTACCAGTAGAAACACCATGTAATGTAGAAGCAGTCGACTTCTGAGATGTGTTTGCGTAACTGACAGTTTGCGCGCATTTTTTAAAACTCACAACACAACGTGCTTTTGCAGGCCTGTGAAACCACCTGTGCTTTGTTTGCCAATCTTTTGACCAGCTACGCCGCTACACCATGTTCGTTGGATTTGATTTCTGTCAGTGGTGCACTATCCTAACAGCGCACCACATACTGCCCAGGCATTGCGCAAGATTCTTGGCCAATTCACGTTTAGAGATGTGAGCCTGCAGGGTCCCCAGTGGCAGGTCATGTGCACTAATTGGTCGACTATGGTGGTCGAACTGTTGGCTGGACCAGGTCTGCCATGGTTCTGCCGCAACAAAAGCGCTGCATGACTCTGCAAGCGCAATTCGAGAAAGGCTCGGCCGTGACGTGCTTGTAAGTTTTGTGGTATTTTCAGCACGTTTCGATGTGTTTTCTCAAGTTGCTTGGAGGCGAGTTCAAGCTCCAGCTGCTTTGTGTCTTGAAAGATGACGGTTCCACCCTGGTTTTGATGATTCTACAGCAGGTGCGCCTCGATATTGGCCATTGGTTTTGGCTTTCAACAGTTTCGCATTTGTGGTCTGCAGGATTCGGCTGAAGACTTTTCGATGACCAAGTGCTTCGATGGGTTAGGCATAGACACCATCATGAAAGCGGCTGGCATCACGATCTCCCTGAATTTTTTTTTCCTTCTGCCGTGGATGGCGCAAGGACAGCAATGTTTTTCCAGTTTCTACCAAAAAGGAAGGGCTTGATACAGCGATGCAATTGATCATGAAGAATGAAAAGAAGATTCAAGACGTGCTCTGGGACATGCAGAGAGTGGATGGAGCAGCTGCCAAGGATTCTCGCCTGCGCAGATGAGTATGTTTCGCTCAGAAACGTTCTGGTTTAAACTTCCTGATCCTCCCGTGAAACACATTCGTTTAACCTTCCTGTGAAACATTTTTGCAACTCTTGAGGAGAACGACGCTTCGCTTGCCTTGTCTGCAACCGTGTGCATTGAAGACAAAGAGTTTTGGAAAGTACTGAAAGTTGCTGGACGAAAGATTGATGGAACACTCCTCTACAGCGATGGATCTCCGATTATTCGTTTTTCTCTTGGGGAGTGCGAGATCTTGAAGATGACGGCTGAGGGAGATGCCTGGATTGGCAAGGACCGGGTAAGGTGTTTTGTTTGACCCCACAGCTGCTAAACAACTTCGATGCGTCAAATTATTGCCGCATTTAGCATAATTTGCTGTAATGACATTTTACTGTATATGAGTTTTCTTTTCAACGACATCCGAGTGTCCTGAGCAAGTTGTACTGAAATTCTCAGAAATGCACGTCTGTAGTATGTCTCATTGCTTCTTGTTCGTTGTCGTGTTATCAGTGTCTACGGTTGGTGTTGTCAATAAGTTATTGCTGTTGTCATTGCACTGGATGATGCCTTACAGCAGCAGAGGGTTGTTTACACAACATCTAGCTACCCGAATCCTGTCGTGGGAGAATTAGATTTTGCCCAAAAGCACTTTACAAAACGGCAACTACACTCTTTGTCATCTTCCCAGACAATTTATCTTGCCTCGCCGAGTTGCCAACACCGTCCGTGCCTGAAGCAGGAGGAGGTCGTTTGCAGGCTGCGTGCAGAACTATTGGATTTGGACAATGTACGTCGGGGCACTTTTGAGTGTGCCGTCAAGTACAGAGTTACTGACCATCATTTGAATATGGCTTTGAAATTGACGGGCAAAGAAAACAATAGCATCAACTTGGGACACTGGGTGCCCTTGCTTGATTGGGTTGAGCTCTACGGCATTGCAGCTTCAGTTGATGGAAGCATTGAGGACACCCGCGACACGTCTTTCACATTGCAAGGGGGAATTCGATTCGTTTTCGATGGGAAAAGAGATGAACCTGAGGGCACCTTCGAGTTTGCCATAATGTATGCACCCGCCGACTTGGAATTGCAAGCTTTCCGTGGCATTGGGGTTGTGTATTTGTACATGGATAACATCAGTTTCCTTCTGTTGCTCCGGGGCTTTTTCAAGCTGGACAAAGATGTGCTCAAATCCCTCTCTTGGGTGGTGAAATGGTTATTGCCCCTTCGCACTCTTGGGCTACTTGCCAAAAACACAAGCGGAGAACTCACAGAACTTCCCGGAACTGCTTTGAAAGATGATATCGCAGACAGACGCGACAAGATTTGTTCCCTCTTGAAGCAGAGGGAGGTTCTGCCCGCATGTGGCAAACGGATATATGCGTTCCAAGCTACATGGAAACTCCTGTGCTTAGAGGCCTCAATATTTGCGTACGTCGAGTTGCCAGCGGAGCCTACCACAAAGGCCAAAGAGTTCACAAAGCAGGTTTGCAAACCTAAGGCCAGCTCCGACACTGATGTGTATGCTGAGCTTTTGGCGACAGTTGAGCCCTTTGAGCTCGTGGTTGGAAACCTCAAGGTCTTGAAAGTATGTTCAGCAAGCGATCCCAACAAGCCCATGGAGTTAACCATCAAGGTCGGTGGTTTGAATGACTTGTATTTCAGGCTAGACGCTAGCATCGCTCTGTTTCCTGATGCTGGCTTGTTTTCTTCTTACTTCGAGTGCTACATCGAATTTCTGAAAGGAGAGAAGAAACAGCCTCGCCTGGTGGTGTATGTTGAGGTACAGTTCTTTGAGCAGCTCCGCTTCAAAGGCTATGTGCGACTTACAATGTCCAAGCTCGGCTCCGCGCTATCAAAAACCATAGCAGATGAACATGCCAGAGATTCATTGAAAGGACAAGCTGCGTCAGCTGTCCAAAAGGCAGCGGACATGCTTCTAGTGCCAAGGGCTGTGAAAGCAAACCTGCACTTGGAAGGAGACATCAATGAGGTAATGCGGAGCCTAATGGCGAAAGCAGCGAAAAACATTCTCAATGGCATCAAGGAAGGATTAGATGCTGCAAAGAAACAGCTGGACAAGCTGAAGTCCGTCCCAATCCTGGGCGGCTTGTGTGAACTGTGCCAATGGCTCATCAAGGCACTCAACTTTCTCATTGATCTGATGGGAGACGGTGTGAATTTTCTCATTAACCTGGCGAATCAGATCTTGGGGAAAGGGGTGAAGGTCCACTGGATCAATGTGGGAGGTGAGGTTGGTGGCAGTCAGGGGGTGGAAGCTTATGTGTCCTTCAAGATCACCGTACTCGGCGTGACCATCACAACAGGATTACATGTGAATCTGAGAAGCGTATTGGAAGACCTGGCCAAGTATTTTTTGTCCCTGTTCACCGGCTTCCACGGTCATGACAAGGCAAGGCTGGGCAATCTCTGGTGGTTTTCAGTCGTGTAGCTTGTTCAAGTTCAGGTTAAGTATCAGACAGGCCGATCCTATTGTGTGTCATGCAGGCCTCCGAACTGTCCACAACATGGTAGTTTTTTTGCTCCCCAGAAACCTCAGTCAAATGCTTTCTGCCTGCGTAATTATGGGTTTGCTTGTCCTCCTACAAGCACAGTTGGCACGGTTGGTTGCTTGTCACGAATTACGATTATAAATACTACAATTGGAAAGGACAATCCAGGAGCCTGTGCCCCAACCACTCCAATACTTCTTTATATTTCTTTTTAAAGACCTTGGCCACGGCCTACCGTAAATCCGCTGGTTCCCATCGTCGAAAATAGACTTGAACCAGCTGCTGTCTGGAGCAGACAGCCTTATACAGTGAATCGGGTTCCTTGGCAACACAGTCAAAGAGCGCGAGTTGGGCTGCACCGTGACTTGTGATCAGCACAGCGGCTCACATTGTCGAAGCTGCAAGAGAATGGGACAAAAAAGGACAAGAATAATTATGTGTTCCGTTTGTGTAGCGGCAGTAGTGGTTGGGTTGATTTGACGCATGTCGCTGCCAGAACTCACAATCAGCCCAATCCTTGTTCTATTGACACAAAGAAAACAAGCTTTTGATTGAACCATTGGTATGGCTGAGACTCTAGAACCTTCCGAATCCCGTGCATTGCTTGAGTTTTCCTTTGACTGCAGGGCGTGGAGCAGCGTTCGCTGGGATATGTGGCGGACGACAACGACTCTGACGAGGCCCACCTTGGCTATGTTTGAAGTTCATCATCCGGCCAGGGTTGGGGGTGGCCCCCAGGCCAATCAATACACACCTACCTAGCCGTTCGTTTTTTACAAACATTTGTTCGCAGTCAGAGCAGTCTGGCACGGACTTGGAACATCTTGGAACACCCCTTGTCAGTGCCCACGGACAGTACTTGGCCTTATGAATGTTGCCCTTGGACTGTGGTTTCCCAGTAGCTGCGGCCCCTGGCCAGCCAACAGTAGTAGCGGTAGCTGTACGTTAACATACACCATGTTGTCCTCATTGCTCCTATACAAGCACTTATGCGTCCTTCTTTTTGGTGGCGTGGTGCCTATCATGTTGCGCTTTGCGGCAGGAGTCTTATCCAGATTCAAAGCCCTTCACAGCAGGGAGCATCGAGGGTGACTCTGAGTACAAACGCGAAGAGACTTGGCTGCTACCCTTCAGCTTGCGGTTTGTGGAACCGCGTAGTGTTTCTGTGCCGGACCGAAGCCACATTGATGTGTTTCTAGACCCAAATGTTTGTTGAACCTATGACTCAAAGTCTCCAAGCTGATGTTTTTGTTTTTTCTTGAACAGCATCGACCGAATCTTCTGTCTTGCCGCAAGAGTCCTTGGAACAGGGGAACAGGGGTGTCGACAAGTAATTGGAGAGCAGCGCGAGAACAAACAAAGCAAAACAAGACATTTTTTTTCCTTACTGCCAATGGCGGTTCGCCTGTGACAAAGTTGCATTCAATTCCGAATTATTCTGCACATCAGCTGCGTCTCTACAAAAGTCAGGGCCCATCCCCGCTTGCTCATTGAAATCCGCTGTCAATTTGGTAACAGCGTCAGCAAACCATTGCGGGAGGGCCTCTGTGTCCTCAGCAAAAGCATGTTGCTGGTCAAACAGCTTGGCAAACGCTTTGCATAGGTCCGGGGGGTATTCTTTAAGAATAGCCGTCCTCCATGTACCTTCACTGGTTTTGCCAATGAAACCCCCTTTGGGGAGCGCCGTTGTTCGCTCCTGGAAGAAGAATCGCTCTGGATCTTCTCCACAGTTCGCCAGCAACAGGTCGGTCGCTTTTGGCGCTCTCCCACCATATCTCCCTTGCAAGATGCGCACCTTGCAACAATTGGAGAAACGCAGGAAAAACCGCACTACCGTCAATCTCCAAATCGATGGGAGCGTCACATCGTCCTCAGGTTCCGCCGGGTGTTCAACGATTGCCGTTGCACCACAAAGTAGGGCTTGAAGGAACAATCGGAATGTGACTCCGAGAAGAAGGCTTCCTAGGCTCACCTGCGCAGATTCGCGCTTTGTCAAGTCTTTGCGTCCTTGCGGCCTCGATCGCCATCTCAACACTCGTGGTCCCAAATCATTGGCAGCTCTGGCGCGCGACCACGTCTCACACGGAGGGCCTGACAGGAATCCTGTCAAGACTCCCTCCGCCAGTGCACGTGAAAACAGCTGAAAGGTGGAGTCCTGAAGCAGGTTACCCCATTGGAGGTCAAAAATCACATCAATCGATATTGCCATAGAATGAAGAGCCTCTACATAGGATTGGAAGTCCCCCTCTCTTCGCACCCCTGAAAACAGATGCGCAAAGACTTTAGGCCTATATCGCAAAGGTCGTGGCAAGGGTCTCACAATCGCTGTCAAGGCATCAGCTTCTTTTTCGAAAAAGGCCTGAACCTTTGGCACATCCTCACTTCGACTGACTGTACCAGTCAAAAACCATTCACTCGAGGCATGCCGGCGAAATTGCTCAAATATCTGAAACGTCGCAAGCACAAAGGAATCTTGCTGACTTTGACGTTCGGTCCAGTTCGAAAAAGCTTCAAGGATTTCTTCATGATACAAGTACGTTTGGAGAGTAGATCGTCTCAACTGATCCAGCAGATCCTTAGGATGTGCCAGACTGTAAGCCGCTGTCCACTCTTTATCCAATCTCATGACCTCTTCGTCAGGCACGTACATCATGAGTTCATGTGGTGGGCATCGTGGTCCTTCTGCCTGGAAAAAGGGATTTCGAAAGCTCGAAAAGTGTGCATTTTCTTTACGGCTATTCACTCCTGGCTCTCGGGGGACTCTAGTCCCCCTGGTGGCATAAAATGAATAACATGCTTCCGCTCTTTTTACATGATTCAGCAAAAATGAATGGACATCAAAAACCTTCAAACAATGCTCACATTGGGTCCCTGTCACAAATGCTCGGGCCCGATTTGCTCTATTATGCTTTTTGAAGGCATGGACAGCTAAATGCGAGCGTTTGGCAAAGGTCATTGCACAGCACAGACAATAGTGGGTGTTTGCAGCATACTCACACTCCTCACTCGAGACAAGGCCACATTTCAAGCATTCATCTCGAATTTGCTTGTGCCAGCTCCACCAGTCTGCATCGAGCTTGTGCGAAGCCACTCGACGTGCAAGAAATTTCCTCACACATCGCTTCCACGCAATGGGGTGATGTGTGACATAATGCATCAGATCGTCCCATGCTTCCGGCATCTGTGCAAGGTAGCTCTGTTCCGGGCAGTATTCTCCAAGAGTCCTCAAGTCTTCGAGGAGTTGGGATCGCCATGGCTCATCTCGCTGTAGGAGTGCCCATATGATGTCCTTGCCAGTACACAGCAGTTGACCTAGATATCGCAACCGAGCTACAACCAGCAGCGTCCTCAAATCAGGCATCCCAACCTGTGCCAGGAGCCATGCACGACTCCACGTAAGAGCTCGCTTGCCAAAGTGGAGGATAGCAAAGCGCTTGTACAAATTGCGCAGTGCAGATTCCAGTTGTCCATGTTGTCTGCTATTTCTTGGGCGCCACACTGCTGCATTGTACAGAATTCCGCTCATAATGAGGCTTTCAAAGAACTGCCTCTTGCGAACGATGGTCATCCCTCTATTCGCAAAGATTTGTGCTCGATAGCGTGTAACCATATCATGGGCCATTGCAAATCGCATCTTGATCTCCTTTGCAATCCCTCCTCCAGTTTGAATCCACGTCCCCAGGTGTCGATAGGCCCCAACAACAGTAAGTTGTCTTTCTTCAACCTGCGACGGGATAGTCAATTTGCAGTCATGCAGATGTATCTGTCGTCGTACTCGTAAGGAGCCAGGTCCTCGGACATCGACCAAGATTTCGCTCTTGCCTGGACTGAGGTTCGGTTGCAGGCCAGAGGCTCGAAGTCGATCGAAAACAATCATAGCTATAGTCTCGCACTTGGATATCAATGCATCAGGATCTCGATCATCAAAGGCCATGGCAACATCATCTGCCCAGATCGGCATCACTGGTTCGAGCTGGTGGCTTGGCTCACTACTTCGGAATGGTGTGCGGTGCCCATCCCAATCAACCAGGATGTCAGGAAAACATGTTGCTACTTGTTCCACTGCAGCCTTCAGGATCTTTTCCAGTGCAAAGCTAAAAAGCAAATCTGCGTAGGAGTCCCCCGGCCGGCTTCCTCTCTTTGTTTGCGCCAGTTTGCTATCTCCTCGCATTTGAAACCAAGTCGATTCCAAGAACTCTCTGCTCAATTCAGCAAGATGCGGCGGCACATCATCTGTCTCCAAGGCCGGTGGCTCTTCCATCATCTGACAGAATTCAGCATAGCTTCCTGCCGGTAACCGAAGGCTGTGGAACAGCGCAACCACCTCTCTGGTATCTCCACTGAGCCTGACCAGGTGCTGCCTGAGCAGCCTGTAGAAGGCATTGGAGATGTCAATGAAAAGGATGGCGTACGAACGGCCCTGTGCAATAGCATGATCTTGGAAAGTCCGGAGTGCATGAACTGGCTGTGTCAGTCCCTGCAGCGGCACACCACCTACTTGCAGGTTGAAACTTCTGGGGACAAAGTATCGGACCAAGTCTCCCCTGTATATGGAGTGCAAGGCCTTTCCAAGCGTGCTGCTAATGAATAGGGACCGGTAATTTTCGATCTTTTGCGGGCTCCCCTTTTTGAAAGCCGGCACCAAGTACCCGCCCTTGAAAAGATTCGGTTCTCTGACAAAAGCCACCTGTTTGCAGAATAGCGAATAGCAAAGTGCAGCCATCGTAGCTGGTGCCCGATGTAGCAGCTCTCCAGGAATCAGGTCCATAAAGAAAGCCTTGTCAGATTTGGTGCGCCTGAACTGCCGTTCAATTTGATACCTCGTGGGCATCAAGTCCCATGTAGCTTGACTAGTACACATGGTCCATCTTCGATCTGATTGTTGAAGCAGTTCTTCAGCGGTAACTTCATGTCCATCCTCTTGCTCCCCAAAATAATTGCGCCAGCAATCTAAGAGCTCCTGGAAAGTCGCCACCGGAGAACCATTCTCTCTGACAATCAACGGCAGTGGTTGCACTCCACTGGGCTTCTTTGGATTCCTCACCCCAATGCTCTTCATAGCATCCGCAAATGCCTTTGGCGTCATATATGGCTCTTCTTGTGCAAGCTTCTCCAGTGATGCCGTTCTGTCCTGGCGAAGCCGGTAAGTCATCTTCTTGGTCAAAGCAGCCGTCTCTCTTCGCAAAATCACTAACTCTCTCATATGCCGCAATCCAGCAATGAAGAAGTCAGTGGGCTCAGTGGACTTGCTCCCTAGCCATCTCCAGAAAGCGTCTCTCAGAGTATACATGTTCAGCTCCAATCGCTTCTGCACCGTTTCACGTCGTTTCGAAATTCTCATCTTCCGCATCTTCCATGCCTCATCGGAGACATAGGACCTGCGCGGCTTGTCCTTTGTGGGTGGAAAGGCTTTCAGCAGCGCATCACTAATCTGTTGAACCAGACCCATAGCATGTTGGTCAATTTCTGTGTGCCAATCAGGAGGTTGCACTGACTTCAGCGCATCTTCAATGTCCTCAACCGTCGCTTTTTGCAGCGCGCTCCGATTGAAAAGCTTCGATTTCTTAGGCATCGACTCTCCTTGAAGAAAAATGCCAACATTGAGCATCAAAGGCATGTGATCCACACCATGCTTTCCTTCATCAAGGGAGTCAATGACCATTGTAGAGATCTTGCCCTCTCTCCATGATTGTGGGAGGGCAAAGTAATCACATCGACAGCCTTGCCCATTCACCGTGCTGAACCAGGTATGGTGCATGCCAGTGTGGTATTGCCCGTAGGTCGAAGGAACAAAAAGGCCAAAATCAACCAGGAAATTCTTGAAGCACTCGCCTCCATGGTTCGACCTCAACTCGAGTCCTGCTTCGCCTATATATCCCTCGCAGCTCGTGCTCCAGTGTGCATTTGCATCAGCCCCCAGGATCAGGTGCGGATACACACTGACCAACGGCTTTAGCAAAGAAACAAGCTCATGCCAGAAGTTCTCAATCTCCTCCAGCGTCCTCCCGCTGTGCGGGGCATGGAAGTTGAGCAGCAGAAAAGGGACTCCAGTACATACCACTTTGATCAGCAAGACCTGGTTCGTCGCCTTGAGGACTTGGACTTGTTCTT